TCGTATTTGCCATCGTATATATGTGGAATGCACTCGCTGTGGCAACGCTACACAATGGACATATGCCACGCGTATATATACATTTTTCTAAACGCGTATCGAGTCGTATCAGGTGGACGTATTTCCGTATCGCTGAATAATGACGAAGCTGGGCGTATTTGTAACACGAGAAGGACCTGCGGCATGATTAATGATTTATTCGAGCGTCCCGAGCGATGATGGCGGAGCTTCCCGGTCAAAGCATTTGCCTTCGACTATATACTTTTCTAAGGCCAATATTTTTTATCCATCTTTCCACCAAAAACAACAATGTAATGAGATAAAATTGACTGCCCGTCGTTTTTTGCATATATTCGCGCACACATCCGATACAGGCACACGGATACATACAAATATTTCATAAATGCAACCCATTGTGTGGATGACTGAGTCTCGGTATATGCGGGGCTGCAGATTGTTGAATCGAAAATTCAAACTACATTCTGCGAATTCACGTACGTTGGTAAAATTCAAATATAGAGACCGACTCTGCCTCTGTTGCTTTCTCTCGTGCTCGTCGTATATTCCAGTCAACTATAAAAAAAATATTGTTCACATATAAGTGAGCTTGCATTTAATGAACCACGAAAAGTTTCAATACACAAAAAAGACTTATGGCTATTGCAAAGTTAATATATTAATTTTTAATGATTTTTATTTCATTCTAGAATGTGCTTAAAAATTTTGTTTATGAGCCGAACTCGTGCTGAACTAAAATTTTTAAAAAATTGCATTTGTTACGCGTGGATTGTAGCTTTATAAGATTCATAATTTTTGAGCACATGCTGCGCACATACAGAAAATGTTTTACATATTTCATGTAAAATTTCTTATTTATGTGAATTATTCGACTTTTTTGCATATAAAATGTGTTATTATGTCGAGCGAAATTTCCGAGTTAATAGTACACATCTATTTAGTGTCGAATATCAAGCCAACGAAATGACTCAAAAAATAAAAGGAGGAGAGGAGAGGAGGTTAATATAATAGACAATGGCCACAGTGTGCACAGCTCATACATTGAGCGAGAAATATTCAATTGAATAGTTAATAATTTTCACGGCTGCCAACTTGATTTAATGAAACAATCGTTTTTATCACAATCTTATTTGAATTATTTATAGTAAAACGAGAAAATATTTTTTTCTTATCACAGGGACTTGAAAAATTTTCATCAAGGTCATCAAAATGAACATCATTCAAAAGCATAATATGTATCTGATAGCTTTTCGGTTATTTTTTATTTTTCAAGATTTTTGATAAATTCTGCATTAAATTGTCGAACGAACATAAGAATGATCAGTTTGAAAGCTGCGAGCTTTTCTGAGATAAGATAATGTGGAGTCACCGTTTAAGGAAGTTTTTATACGTGAGTACTACGGAATAGTCTGCTTCGCCGTCGTCGTATGACCTATATTAAACCTATGAAACTTTGAACGGTTATTCAATGAAACCCTTGTCATTAGGGTGGATTATAGTAACTCTATACATACATTTTGTCGGTGACTTACACCCGATACTTTTGAGTCATATTAAATTTTAACGAAAATTGTTCACCTCGAACTCGATCGTTCCAAAGCAAGTTGGTGAAAATGGAGAAAAAATTATGAACTTCGCTTGCCTGTGTCTGAAGTCGACTTCGCATCGAGCAGTGTGTAATGAAACGATGCAATTGACGTTATCGTTTAAAAGGGAAACGGTACAAAATGATGAAGAGAGAATCGATAAAGACGATAAGTCAATATTGAAGGCAGGCATATTGATGCATACATATTTTAGCAATCCTAAGGGCGGAGAGTAAAAAAAACTACACTTGCATTGTTGTTTCTTTTCAAATTTTCTTTCCTTAAAGTTTAAGCTCGATATTTGTTTATTTTACTTTTCTATATACTCTCAAGCTTGCTTACCTAATAAGCGATAAAGTAAAGGTATGTGGCATGAGAATGTTTACTCAAGATTTTAAAATTAACATAACTTTATAATTTGAAATGCTCAATGCTTGGTAGAACCTAAACTTTAGATATTAGTTTAACTAGTAAAACCTATTTGGAAGCATGCTTATACATTTTAAATTTCATTTCAATAAAAAGAGGTCGCATTTGAATGACGATACAGTAAAGTAGCTTTACATAATATCAAATATATTTCTAGACATATTACATTTTTTTCATAAAATATTTTACATAAAAATTCAAGCAAAAAATAGTTGGACGCTAAAAAATATATCCACACATAAACTTCAACACCATTTATGTATAGAAAGAGAGAGAGAGAGAGAGAGAGAGAGAGAGAGAGAGAGAGAGAGAGAGAGAGAGAGAGCACATGTATAGATGTAAACATAGCTCAACAGGGGAAAAAAAAGCCAAAGCAAGCTTCATTTATATCGAAAATATAAAATATCGGACGTCAGGGACACAAGTGAATAGCCGCAGGAACCACAGTTGCCAGTGTTACGAGAGCGAGCGAGGCAGAGCGCGCGCCTATCCATTCGTTTTGGCGCGCATAAAAGCTCGAGCTCGATGCACAATGCGGTACGTCGGGAGAGCACCTGCTGCGGGGGGCTGTGGGGGGAGAGCAAAAAAAAAGGGTAAACAACGAAAATTCCACGCGCAACGACGCGTCGTTTGTGCCCGTGGACGTTGTCAGGCCAAAGGAATTCATAGCCGGCAGCCCGATGCTACCTGAACACGCATTAATTTCGATTTTTTCTCCTTCTCCTCCGGTGCAAGGAATTAGACTCGAGTGAAATTTTTCGGCGCGAATTGAAAGCTCCTCTGAGCGAGAGACTCGAACGGTCGACTAAATTACGTGAAAAGCCATTGCGCGCAAGTCCGTGACTGATTGAATGCAAAATCTGGTTAACAGCCGAGGATTCTGCAGATGCGAGTTTGCACGCTCCTCTATATAATATACTCCGCTGCTCGTCGTATTCTCCGATGTATTAAACTTATCAAAGATTTCAAGTGTTACGCCGAGCGCGCAGACGCGAATAGTTGGAAGTTCCAGTACGAGATTGAGAATTAAATAGTCGTGAATTTTGACGCAAAGATTAATACGTTGTGCTGTCGTGTGCGCTGCGCAGCGCCGAAGCTTTAAACTATTCAAAAAGGTGATTATACGGAGAGCTGGCGTTTTTTCAAGCCAACTCGCTGCCTCGGAGTGTATCATGCAGTCGAGTAATTCTCGAAGCAACGCGTTGCTGGATTCATATGTATAATATAAGCGCGTGCGTGACCCGTGTGGCTCGTAGTTTTTCTAAGACTTCCTGAAATGTCTACCGCAGCTCTCTCTCTCTCTCTCACTCGAGCCGCAATTACCGCTATTCTTGGGTTAAACTCGCGGCCATAAGAAAGAGAGAAAAACGGAGGCAAAGAAAGAAAAAAGAAAGAGGTAAAACTCAAGCGTCTCATATTAAAGGTATTAGTGTCACGCGGGGTTCCATTAGAAAAATATCAAGAGATCGGCTTATATAATATCGCTTGATGCTCGCGTTCGTAAACGATTTTTCAAAAGTTCATCGCTGCCTCTAATCGACCGATTCCATTTTTGCGAGAGCTGCTTTAATGTCCGGACTCGAATAAAGAATTTATTCTTTCGAGTTTTGCATATATCGCCAAAGTTAATATTCATCTTGGTCGTTGAAGAGGAAAAAATGCGAAAAGCAGATTTTCTTTGCTGTTTCGAAAAATACGATAAATCACTGAGAGCACGCGCCGTAGCAAGATTCATCTCAAAAAAGGCCAATTCATCTCCGTAGTGTAAATCCTCGCTCACTCTAGCTTTCTCTCTCTCTTTCTAGCGACGTTATCTTCTCAAACGAACCCTTTCAAAATCTTTGCCGTGCAAACACACACACACACACACACATACACACCGAGTGAGAGGAAGAGAGCTAGAGAGCTGCAACGAGCAATCCAATACGCTGGTATAGCTCGAGCGTACGGGTATCGCTGAGCGCTGTTACCATAACTGTACAATCAATCAGAAGGACGGAATAAAAACAGTCGGGGGAGGGCTAAAAATCACAGAGTATATTTTCACGCGGTCCAGCGGTCCGCAGGGCGAGTCGAGAAACGGCAAAGACGACGATTTTTACCATTTGTCGCGCTAGACGACGCGCGGCTGCGGTTTCGTTCGCGTGATTTGTGGCAATCGGTATAGGAGCCTTAATTTATTCATAAAATCCTTCTGGCTCGGAGCGATAAACTGTGCGCGTTCGCGCAGCGTACAAGCCCCAGATAAATCCGATGCGCGCAATGGCTTTGTATTGATATATTGAATTCGTTTTACATAAGTATCTCTGAATCTATAATGAGCTCAAGTTATGGTAGCTTATATTTTGTACGCGATTCCCGCAAACACAGAGATTATCTGGACTGCTGCTGCTGATGCTGCTGCTACACGATAATAATTCAACTGCATAATTGATCGGCGTTGCTTTGCTTTTTTTTACTCCTCGAGCAAATTTCTATAATACACATGAAATATTCACAAAGCTGAGCTTGGCTAATGCTTACACACGTGCCCACTCACACCTCCGCATGCATATCGATATATTAAAGGCCACAGAAACACGTGGATTAATAGCCACATCTGCTCTGCGCTGAGGCACAATAAATTCACTCCTCCAAGCATGTCTAGTGCATCATATCAATTTTCTTGTTAATATATTCACAAACACAGCACCGCTAAAGTAATCAATCGGTTCTTCTTCACCACCGCTTCTTTGCCGACTGAGCCACGCTCAAGGGGTAAGTACGTAGACAATCGAGTCCTCTCGCAAGAGCTGCTCACGGGGCACCGGTAAAGCAGACGCGGGCCAGTCGGTCAAGATGGCGAAATCCAGTAGTCAATTGGTGAAGGCTTAATTAAAAAAAAAGAAAAAAAGAAACAGAAGGCAGAGAGGGAGACAGTCGGAGCGGTGACTAACGTTGAGTCGTGGTGGTTGCTTGTGCTTGCAGCTGCGGAAGCCGGCGTCGACTCTCTCGATCCCTGGTGCTATGAAGAGCAGCAGCATGGGCGGGGGAGCCGGCTCCGGCGCGACGGCGGCGGACCAGGAGGCCGCCATAGCCCTGGTGAGCGTGCACTCGGAGTACCCGCGGGCCAGCGGCGACGAGGGCGGCCGCGGGGGCAGCGGCGGACAGCAGGGCGCCGCCGGGGGCAGCCTCAGCGCCGCCAAGTCCGGCAGCATCGGAGCCGCCTCCAAGCACAAGCCCAACGTCGGCTACAGGCTCGGCAAGCGCAAGGCCCTCTTCGAGAAGCGCAAGCGGATCAGCGACTACGCCCTCGTCATGGGCATGTTCGGCATCATCGTCATGGTCATAGAGAGCGAGCTGTCCAGCGCCGGTATATACACCAAGGTGAGCCTCCAATTAGCACAATCAAGCCACATACGCTACTACATTAAGAGCTAGATCGCGCCTATAGATCGAGCGATTCGCAGACAGACCTATAGAATCGACAAATAGCCCTGCGTGTCGCGTAATTCCGTCGTCGAGCTATTTTTTTACGCGCTCGCGTGGCATTATAATTCGCGGACGCGTTTTGTAGGTCACGCACGCCCAGAACTTTGCATCCGGCTAGTAACCTCGCTGTTGCGAAGGGTGGAAAATTTACGAATCGACCTACGCCACTACTCGCCTATCCGTACGGGTATACTTGCGATGGCAATGTGCTGCGGGTAGTCGGCTCGCTATGTATACGGCGACGACGACGCTCGAGCGGATCGTCGCCGCATGTACGTGTGCTTAGCTCCGCAGTAATATCGCGTACAGCTATTCGCCGCACGAGGATAGAGCGATGCGGAGCCGTGTACTGCGCGCAAATGGCCCTCGATATGCCAAGCTCCGGCGGTTCTCGTGTATTTCGCTTATTTACCGATCGGTTTCGCTGCTGCTGCTGCTGCTACAGAGAGCCAAAATCACTGATTCAACCGTCCAACTATTCCAATAGCCCCCCCCCCAGCCCCCGCGCGCGCACGCTTATAAAATTTTACCCAACCTCGGGATTATCCGCGCTCGAACGCACTGCGATTCACGAATGTTTCTAAATCTAAGGAATTCGCGAGCAAAAATAGCATCGACCGATCGATGTGTTTTTATTTATAAACTTTGAAACGACTCGGCTAAACTATAGCTCATGTCTTAAAGCCTGTTCAGCTGCTTCCCTTTTAATTCGCTCTTTGTATATAGTACTTTTTTTTCGCTCGGCCATTGATTATGCTCGCGGATAAATAAACCTCGAGCGAATTTCCCTCGCTAAGATAATCGATATATAGTGAGTAATAAAAAAAAGGAGAGAAAAATGCCGAGTTCTGAATGAAAAGGTCCCATCCCATTGTGTGTAATATAATCTCGTGTATACTCGTCCGAGAGAAAAGTTGAAAAAGTCTTTATTTTGAACTTGCGCGCCCGTGCTATCGTAATATAACGAGTAAAGAAAAAGTGAGCAAGAGAAGCAAACGGAGTATAGGAAAAAGAAAAGAAAATTTACCGATCGGACTCGGTTTTATTGTGTATATTTTTTTCCAAACTGACTTTATTATATGCAAACAAAGACGCTCGATCGTTAGGAACTTTTTTAATAAGCATAACAGGAATGGCAACTTCGTATCGAGCATCTCCGACACGAGAGCCAAGTAGTCGAAATGCGCCAGTGGTATAGTCGCGAAAGCAATAAGGGTAAGATTAAAGTGTAATTGAAAATATTCAGCGTACGCGGAGAGTGACGGGGGCTGGCTCAAAGCGAGGCCCCCGCGATGCGATTCGAATGCACACGATGCAGATATTCGCCTGTGCTTTTCCGGCCGATTAAACAAACGCAGTACACGTATTTATGCACTCTCGCGCGCGCGCGCCTCGACGCTCCCGCTCGAGCACAGACCAGCAGCTCGCGATTATGATTTATTCCGGCCACGCGAACGTACCGACAAGCTTTGCTACTTACTCCGTAATTCGTACGAACAAGAGCCGCGCACACGACTCGATTGAACATTTCATCAAAAAGTTCATTAAAAAAGCTCGTCCACGCGACCGGACTCAACGCAGCGGCTCTCCCTTGGAAAATTGTTTAATGCTCGCCGACCTTTGAACGAGCTCCGTGTGCTCCTGACAATGGGATAAACTTTCGAGCGAATTACAAACGGCCACCACTTGCGCGCGTGTATATACATAATGCAGGGAGAGAAGGCATGTGCCAAGCCGAGCGGATCGCAGGCCGCGCCGCAGTAGTCGTCGCGCGCGCGCGCAACATAATGCTCAAAGTTATTTTTCAACGGACTGCGGGAAGCAGCCGCGCATTATCGTGTACGCGCTTTCCCGACAAAAATTTCCATATTAAAGTTGTAAACTAGTTTCAGCTGCCACCGAGAGAGAGCTGAAACCAGAGGGGCAAAAAATAAGACAACATTAACGCCATACACGCGTGTCTCTTACGAAATCCCGCGTAGTAAAAATACAAGCCAAGTCTCGTAAAAAGCGTGAAAATCGCCTTTCCCTCGCGCTCGCGTGTGCTCGCAGCTGCTCGTATCGGCTTTTATTTTCCCCAGTGACAGCATCGTCTTCTCTCTCTCTCTCTCTCTCCCTCTGCCGACGTAATCCTACATATTGTTGTATATATGTATATGGTATATCGCGAGAAGCGACATATCCGGGGCCGTAACGCAGCGCCGTAAGAGCCATTAAGGTAATACGCCGAGGCTTTAACAGCCGCCCGAGTGTCCCGACGTGTCCTTAGGAATCGAGAATCTATGAGTGTGCCCAGCGAGTCCCCGTGTCCTGCAGCATAAATCCTGCGCCGTACATCCTCAAAATGCCATTGTCCGTAGCAGGTACCTTTGAGAGTTTCGCCGCAGCTTAATCCCCCCCGGTGCAGGCGACACGCATTGAATTCTAGTTTCTGCTCGGGCTAGTGAGCTATGCGAGCTAGTGAGCAGCAACGTTGCTGCTGCCGCCGCCGATGCTCGTCAAACTTGTAAAACTTGCGAAATTCTTATTTCCCGGCTTGTATGAAACGCATTAAAGCATAAAGCCAAGCCGAGGCCCGAGCAGAAATTGATCGATCGCGTGTGCGAGCGGAGGCGAGCGCGATGCTTGTTCGGCGTCCTGTTAAAATAAGATTGATGCGCGCAACTACTCAGGACTGCTACACGCAAGTTTTGCTCAATTGATATCTCGTCTCTTCGCAGTGCTTAATCACCGACTTTTTATCTTCTTTCCGCATCTCATGCCACCTTTTTTTTTCTTCTTCTTCTGCTCAACAGGCCTCCTTCTATTCAACTGCATTAAAAACCCTCATCTCCGTGTCGACTGTGATACTTCTTGGCCTCATTGTAGCTTATCACGCTTTGGAAGTTCAGGTGAGTCTCAATAGCCTACCATTAATCTCGCATTATGCCGTAATTCTTCAATATGCAAATCATTCGTATGCACAATATCTTGAATATTATTTATATATATTATATATTCAACACAAAGGTATACGTACTACACAGATTAATTATATATTTTTATCCATTTTTAATTGTTGTATATCGTTGATAAACGTTTTTATATGATTACTTGACTCGAAAAGGAATGTTCATTACTGTTACTGGTGCATGCAAGCACATACGTATACTTTATACAAAAGAAAATTATCTTATACACTCAACGAGGAATGACTCGAGGGCGGCATCGAGTGCCTTCCGATCGGTGAAATTCTCCAATTACACACTTTTTTCTCCCCGCAATAACAACCTATACTGCCCGACGAGAGCAAAAAAGAAGGAATAACAGGACTTGTTCTTCTTCTTTTATACTTATATATAGATACAGCGTGCGGCCACCTAATTTTCAGCAACTCTTCGTGAGAAGAGAGCCTTCCGTTGTTATACCCGGAAGGGCTTCTATATAAACACGCTCATACACTCTACAGACACACTCATACACACGTACGTACAAAAGCGCCGACTGTACGAGGCGTGAATCGAGCTTTTTTTCCTACGTCTCGTCTGCGGAGAAAGGCGATCGTTTGCCAAGGCTACTTTGGCATAATCTTTGGTTCAAAATGGGTCCGTACGTAGCACACGAGCACGGCACACATTCCGCCTCGTGCTAAACGGCATGAATAAATCCATACGTCTGACCATAGCGCTTGGCTTTTCTACTGTGAAGCGTATTTTTATGCGAAACACACTTATGTTAATTCCGGAGAGTACCGCATCGAAATGTACCTACCGCACGCGCAAAATAATTACCAAAGTGAATTATGTAAATATTCGCGTGTGATTATAAAAACGCTCGCGAATCCGATGCATCAGTAATAAATCAGTAATAATATTGCGGCGAGAGAAAAAGATGACCTAGATTTTACAGAGGGTGAGTGGGAAAAAACGTCGACCTGCTATACAAGCATCCCGTGGGATTCATTGGTCGCTCTCGATATTATGTGCGCTCGTTGGAATTTCATCTTTTATGCGTATAATTTTCGATTAATGATCTCTTCTTTTATACTATTCGAGCAGATAATCTTTGAGATATTTTCAGACTACAAGTAGCAGATAGGTAAACAAGATTGGATGAATACACCAGTTCAAAGTTTCGGTTTTATTTCGAAAAAGCTCACAACAAACGGAACAAACGTACGAATCAAACAGCACTTCTGCTCTTGTGTGTCGGTGCAACACACCCCAAGTTCGAAAAACTTTAGAAAATCATTCCAACTGTTCAAATGTACCATAAAATCTCGCGTGCGCAGATAAGGTTTTATATTCGTTTCTGCTATTATTATAATTAATTTTTTTCACAAAGTGAGAGCAATTTCATATACGTGTGCGAACGCGTCTAGGTTATAGTTTCTACATTTTCCCGTAGATCTTTTTAATCTTCCATGCATAACTAAATTCCCACCAGAGCAAATCCTAGGTATGGTTTTGATTAAAAAGTCGAATGCACCAAAACAAAGGTGCATGCATCCTATTGTATCGGTTGACTTTTTTTCCGAATCCGATAAACATCTTTGACTCGATTTATAGTTTCCTCGTGCCGATTATTTCTGTAATTCGGATGCACAGCTCTTCCGTTCGTGTAATCTGCATTACATGCGTTTTGTGTGGAAATGCAAATGAATAAAAACAAAGGCGAAAGGACTTTTTAGTTTAAGATTGATTAACTGACTGTGAATTTACTTTGCGAATTCCGATTCGATTCTACCAAAATAAACGTACAAAACTCGTACGCGCAGTCCATTGAACAAACTAAATTTTGACAGAATAAAAAAGGGTAAATAAAAAGTATAGTCCAAAGCTCGCATGAAAAATTTGCATACAAAGAAAACAAGTAATCTCCAGGATTGAGGTATCAATATCAATCGATTACTGGGCGCGCAAGTACACGCAAAAATACTCGGTCGCTTTGTCTATTCACCTGAATTTTTTCTATGAAGAAAAACGTGTTTTATCTCGCGCCGGAGTCTTTGATTTTAAAAAAAAGTATATGTATAATTTATATATGTATATATGGACAAGGATAAGTGATCCATTAACGCCCCGAGTAAAAAACCTTCAGCAAATAATCATTTTTCTTTACTCTCAATTGAGGATGCCTTTCTCAACCCCGTCTCTTCAATTTACAGTAACTCAACTGAGAAAATAAAAAAGATGTTTCTTGATGACGACTTGAATGATTTTTTCGATAATTATTATCTCTCCGCTTATTTTTCACGGCTTCAATCGGGTCAAATGAGTGACTATCGTGAAATTTCAGAGTACACTTTTGTCCAAATACACCTCACCTGATCATACTTCGATTCTTCCAGTTTACTTCTATATATACCCGCCACTTAGCCGTCCAATTTTCTTTGAGTCTCGAAGATACACATTTCTTGCGCGTGCAAGAGCAGTATCTCTGTGACTTGAACACGTGAAAAAAAAGTTCAATTCCCAACAAAAATACTCAATCAGCTTTCACTTTGAAGCAGAGTAAATTTAATGTAATTAATTGTTTGAGTTTTACCTGAGAATGAAAAATCTTCTTTGAGGTAAAGAAGGAAAAGGGATAAAAAAACAAACGTTAAATAAGAGGAATTTTCTCCTGAGATACGAGATAGCAGCAGATGTCTTTGATCCTGCGTAAGAAGCTTATCTAAGGCTAATAAAGTAACATGTGCACCTATCTCAAACAGACATATATTACAATCTAACACATACCTTCAGCCCACCCATACAGACACACATACTTTAATAAATTAAAGGCTACAGTTCATGCGTAATGGAACCCTCTCTGGAGAGGAGGAATCTGATCAAAATTTTACACCCTCATTCCTGTTATACTCTTGCCGACTATAAAAGTAAATCTTGGCTCCTTTTGTTGTACTCGTTGAAGCGTTTCTGAAATTGTAACTATGGCAAATTTAGCGCGTTACTATAATATCTACACTTGTCATCCAGCTTCTCAACATCATCAAACTTTTTTTACTTTACGATTTTTATCATTTTATTAATTTCTAATCCCATGATCGTAATTGTTTCAGGATGCAGTAAGCAGACAATAACTTTTTTTGTCCCTTATTAAAAAAAAAAAAAAAAACAAAAACAAAAAAAACAACAACAAAAATAAATGAGCCAACTTTTATCGTTGATTAATATTACGCAAAATAGACTATACCAAGCTGAACTATCTATAATCATAAACGGTTCAGTGGGATTCGATTAAAAAACACAATCTCTAAAAGACCAGGAATGTACAATCAGTGAATCACAAATTTTATTAATTTATCAGTACTTGTAATTGTGTATCAGTATTTATGTTATATATAGTCCAGTGCATCTTGTTCAACTATTGGGCCTCGAACCTACTTGAATATTTTCAATGATTTCATTAGACGGGTAGGTCCGAGAATTGCCCAATCGGCACCATAATCATAGTGTGTCGTTTTTTTTTCAATCAATTAAAAAAGAAAAAAAAAGAAAAAAGATTCAATTTCACCACACTCGAGCGTAGTAATTAAATCAACGTAATTAAAGCCTATATTATACACATTGAATTATTATTACCATAGTTTACAGCTCTACTCAATATCACTGCTGTACATAAAAATGCGTCTGCAGCTTATTGACACTCATACCATATATATAATACACAAATCCGACTATATTATAACCAAAAGTAATTTTAAGTGGCACCATTTAGCCTAGCACTTTTAGCTTTATTATCACGAAATTTGATTTATATTGAAATTCATGGTGTAAAAAAATAATCAAAGAGTAATTGGAGTAAAGGAAGTAATGGATAAATTTAGGCATTGCAAGAAGACTTGCTAAAGGTAGTCTGCGATGGCGAGCAAGCGTATGATACTTTGCCCTAATGTGATTTGCAGTTATTTATGATCGATAATTGCGCCGACGACTGGCGCATCGCCATGACGTGGCAGCGCATCACCCAGATCAGCTTCGAGCTGCTCATCTGCGCCGTGCACCCGATACCCGGCGAGTACTATTTCCTCTGGACGACGAAGATGGCCAACAAGGGCGGCGAGATCGGCTCGCGCTGGGTGCCCTACGACGTGACCCTCTCGCTGCCCATGTTCTTCCGGCTCTACCTCATCTGCCGCGTGATGCTGCTGCACTCGAAACTCTTCACGGACGCCTCGTCGAGGAGCATCGGTGCCTTGAATAGGATTAACTTCAACACGAGATTCGTCCTCAAGACCCTCATGACCATATGCCCGGGCACGGTACTGCTCGTTTTCATGGTCTCTTTGTGGATCATCGCCTCCTGGACGCTCAGACAGTGCGAGAGGTAACATTATTATTGTTTTTTTGTTTTTATATACTCAGCAGCTAGCTCGAATTCACGAGTCTTTATCAATTGCTCGTTCGAGACTACTGTGGCGTCGGTTAACGTATCAAAAAGTTCCCTATTCCTCTGAGTGAATTCGAACGCGATCTCGCTGACAAGAAAAAAGGCGTACAAGCAACGCAACCGATGTAAAGCGATGTGTATTGTGTACCCAGTAGACTTTTTTGAATTATCGACGCTGGCGCAAATACGTGACTCGTGCTCGAGCTCGAGGTAAAAAATTCATTCCCCTCGGTAGCGTCAAGTACGTCATATATCGATCCGTAAGGGCTAGCTTCGCCGAGGCTATATACATACATTGTATACGTCGAAACGAAAACTTGGCTTTTTCTTTTTTTTTTTTGAAAATCCCGTTGTTTATCCATACAATGGGCGGTCGTGGTCGCGAGCGATATACATATAGACGTGCAGAGAGACAGCGTAGCGGAGCTGCTCGTATTATTACATCGACCAGTAAATCGCTAATCGACCTTGGCGGACGGCCGAATCCTCTTTTAAACGCCAAGACGAATCGATACTTAGCCTACAATGTAAGTGGCCGCGAACACGCGCGCGGGGATCGTGTGCACAGCTAGCTCGGGCCAGCGCGATAATCAAAGCCGACGCTGACTCGCCTTCTCCTCGCTTCTCCTCGCTCCTCCTCCTCCTCCTCCTTCTTCTTCTTCTTCTTATTGTTCTTGTTGTTTTTGCAGGTTCCACGATGACGAGCACGCGAATCTGCTCAACGCCATGTGGCTCATAGCCATAACCTTCCTGAGCGTCGGCTTCGGCGACATCGTGCCCAACACTTACTGCGGCCGGGCCATCGCCGTATCCACCGGCATGATGGTGAGTGCACACACCCGAGTCCGTATAGTATTATATGCAGAATCCAGTCAGCCGAGAGCGACTGAGAGCGACCTCAGGGGCCTATCGACTTCTTTTTTTCCCCGTTTCGCCGCGCACAAAGATAAAAAAAAAGCCCATATACTTGTACAGCCAAGGGGTCGAGGAAATAGCTTATACAAGCTAATACCGGATTAAGTCTTTCCATCTTCTTCCACCTTTTTTCGGCCTAGTCGGCAGAAAATTTTTTAGATCTAGGCTGACTTTTCGTTTTTTTCTTTTTCAAACGAGAATGGGCTAAGCTTTTGCCTAGTTGTTCGTTACTTTGAAAAAAAAGCTTTTGAATAATAGTTTGGATCATAGTTTTCGATGAAAATTGCAACTGATTTAGTTCACGAAACTAAGTATAAGAAAAATTGCTACTTTCGTCGTAGCGAGTCTAGTATTGCTGCTAAAACGTTCACTCGGCAAATGTAACTTCCACCTCTCTTTCTCTTTCTCTTTCTCTCTTTCTCTCTATCTCTCTTTCTCTTTTTTCCATCCAATTTCGTGAAAACGAAGTCACGTCCTCTAATTGAATTGAACTCAAAAATTTGCATGCTGAGTTAACAAGGTAAAAAAAGAATAAAAAAAAAGATAGTACAAGCGTGACAATGGTGGGAAAAAAGCACTAGCGCGTATTTATTCGTATTTGGTCGTATATAATTAAAATGTGGCTAAAACGCTGGTAAACAAGCGGCTCGAAAGAGCGATTAGGAAATCCAAGCGTGGCAAATATCGTCGGGCGTGGATCTTGTCGTTTTGGCGCACTAGACACTATTCGGCGTAACACAGAATCCAAGTGCATGTGCTGCACACACACATATAGAAGCCGACCAAGTAGAAGAGTTGAGTCGGGGGCGTTTATATTACCATTTTAATTAGATACGTGATCATTTTCTGTAGGTACGCGCGCAAAGACACACGCGAGCGAGCTGCTGCTGCTGCAGCCACGTTAGAAGAGCTCAAAATGGAAAAGGGATGCTGGGAGATGAAAATAATTTATAGCGGGATAAGCATTTGGTAAGCAGCGTAGGAGCGCCCTCCTGTCCTGTACGCGCCAACGGCTATAACGGGTATAGCGTTTCAATTAAATATATGCGATATGTGAGCTGCAACGGCTGCGCACGTACGACCCTGTTTGAGCGCTGCTCTCAAACAAATTAAAATTTAATCATCGAAATCGCGGCTCAGCCTGCTACCAACAAATGGACTTTTTTTTTAAACCGCTACTTTCGAGTTTCGATACGGATGAAGCAGCAGCAGCAGCAGCAGAAGCCGGAAGATATCCGATCCTTCAGAAATACCGACTGGCTCCTGTATCTCCGGATACATTTTTCACAAACTCCTCGCCTTAATGGAGAGATACCGAATAGTGTCGTCCGACGCTTTTTTTTCCTCTCTTTCTTTCTCTTTTTATGCTTACTTTTATCGAATGAAAATTAGCTCGGAATTAGGACGCTCGTAGCCGATAGTGCCCACGCGCGTTGTGGTCTTATTTTGAGGAGATAAAGAAGCTTTGAGATAGAATGGGAGAGAGAGTGAGTGAGAGAGAGGACGAAGTGGCGACAGAGGAAAAAAGATCGATGTCGCGCGCAAAAGTTTCGCAGCTCGTTAAGAGGATTGCTTAATCGTTTTAAAAGGAGGACGTGGCAGGCGCATTGATTAATTGCATCGATCCTTTATTACCTGCGCATGAGCATACGTGGATTAGAGCTGAAAATCGTGAAATATTCAGCTCGGGGGGTTGATTAACCCGTACACCAAGAAGCTAATTGTAACGTGAGACGGGGAAAATTCTTTGCTTCCCCCCCGGTTGGTTCTTGGCTTTCCTTGGAACTTGCCCCCCAGCCCTCCTCCCGGTGAGTGTGTGCTGCTGCTGCTGCTGCTATACGAGCGCTATTTTCACCGAGGGTGCCCCTTGAGGTTTCCTATTTCCTCGTAAATACTAGTTACTGGCGTTTGCATACGATGTTGCGTTCTAATTAAGCCGCGTGTGTGTGCCAGCGTGTATACGTGCTCGTATCGCTTATGCGCGCGCGCGCGATTGACTTTTTTACTAGCTATCGGCGAAATATGCGCCTCCTCGGTTTTATATTATTCTCATTTTGCCAGCTACGAGAGCTCGGAGCTTCTTTATTCATATAATACGGCGGCGGAGCTCGTGACGCGACGACTGGGCGCACGGAGCAGCCCACGCCATGTATAACAATTAAATTAAATTACGAAAAGAGAAAAATTTTTATCACGTTGGAGCGGCGTCGAGTCAGGTGCAGCGAGTTTTGTTCCTCTTGCAGCAGCAGCAGCTCGGGTCTTTGTGCAGTCCTGCATTTTTACTATTCTGCATTAAGTTGGAATAATACATGTTAGCCACGCGGCAAACACTAATAAATTATTCTTCATATTTGACTCTCACACATAGCTCGAACTAATTTGCTTTCTGCATCGCTCAGGCTCGCGCAGGAGAGCAACCGCTCTTATTCAGATAAGAAATTTATTTAGAGCAAAGCTTTTTCTCTGGAGAAATTTTTCGTAATTTTTGCTCTTATCCCCGAGCTGGCTTCTTTCTTGCCTCTCGTCGGACGTCGAGTAGAGTCGAGAGAGAGAGAGAGAGATACCAAGAGAGAAAGAGAGAGAATCTCGTTACATGCCAGTGGCAGCAAAATTAATGCCGACACGTATACAGCAGCAGCTCGGCTCGCACTACGCTCCGGCAAGATTTTCGCCTAGCCACGGATAAAAGCTCGATATTATCTTATCTCTGGAGGCTCGTAAACTATTATCGGAATAGTAGCGGGGGCTGCGTTAGCTCGAAAGCAGCGCACAATGGACGCGCCGCGCGCAGACAATGGCTTTTGCGCGTTCGTAATCAGGCCCCGCGACACCTTATACGACGAGCTGTAACTATATATACACGCGACGCCATCCGGTTGCTTGTTTCGCAGGGAGCCGGCTGCACGGCGCTCCTCGTGGCCGTCGTCTCGAGGAAACTGGAGCTCACCAGGGCCGAAAAGCACGTTCACAACTTCATGATGGACACCCAGCTGACCAAGAGGGTGAGTTTGCGTATATATTATATCACGCGTACGCTCTGGCAAATTGACCCAATTTTCACTCCGGCAAACACTCGTCATTTGTATCGCGCGTGTAGAGCGCGTTGGCTCGGCCTCGTCATTTTTCATTAGACACTGGCATGAATTCAAATATTAACGAACGCGTGTGTCGCAGTCGTCGTCCTCCTGCTCATCTTCTTCGGCATTTTTTGGCATTTTTTGGCATCGAGTAAATTACGAGCCTCGTTTCCCACTTATAATACTTGATTTTTTACACGTGAATAAATTCCCCAGCATAGTCGGCAAAATATAATATATATTTTAGCCGCGAGCGAGCCATTTCTTTTTTAAAGCTCTAAATGGAATATGCAACGCGACGTTACGACGACTGCGACGACTAATGTCGTTTCCTGCGCCACCGCCCCCCGCCCCCCGCTCCTCCTTCTTTTTTTTTTTGCAACTCATTACGATTTTCAGCTGAAAAACGCCGCTGCGAACGTGCTGCGAGAGACGTGGCTCATCTACAAACACACGCGCCTGGTCAAACGCGTCAATCCTGGACGCGTGCGGACGCATCAGCGAAAATTTCTCTTAGCTATTTACGCGTAAGTCAAGTATATGCGGAGAATTTCATTTATTCGCATTAATTCAACGCTGGGAATGACGAAAAAATTAATCCCTTTTGCAGACTACGAAAGGTCAAAATGGATCAACGAAAGCTCATGGATAACGCCAACACGATAACAGACATGGCCAAGGTAACTTTCTTTTGACATTATTTATTACATATTCCATCACGTGAAATCTCAAAGATTTATTAAAAAATGAAACTAGCTCGCTCGGGCACGCACGCGCGCACCGGCTCAAAATCCGATGAATTTTAAAGTTTTTCAAAAGCACTCGAGTATGAAATCAAATGTCGCGTAAGTAAGGACGAGAAAGACGGGAAAAAAGATGAGCCGAGATGTAGAAAAAAAAAGTCACTTTAATGGGGGGGTACATAAAGGCGATGCTGTTTTTGCAAGCGCCATCAGCGAGCACGAGGCTCTTTTCGCATTCATCCGACAGGGGCTATATTACGTACAAGTTCTCTTGATCGTCGCGCCGATGACGATAACTTTTTTCTTCTCATCTGCAATGAGTCGAGATTTACGAGTACACAGTTTACGCTACACACACGTAAACGTTGCAGTTTTTGGGGAAGAATCATCGTTCGAAAAAAGAAGGAAAAGTGCATCCGATATGCACGTATTATTGATCGATGCACAAAGTATACAACAAAATTATAATATCTATTTTACATTGTCAGCTAAGCTTGTATGCCATCATTTTTATCAAAGCTTAAAGGCTTGAATACAAACGTTTTATGATGCAATGGTTGACATATTATACGGCAATACTGTAGTTTATTATTGTACTCTCGAAATTTTTATTGCAATGCTTCACGACGCTTTTGTAATAAGAAAAAAAACGATTTCTATTTGAATCGATAAATCTTGTAATTTGTAAGCTTCATATTTATCACAAAACAAGCAAAATTAGTTGAAAATTTAATTTGCTGTTCTTACATTCACGTAGTTTTTACATTGAAAAATTATATTGTTAATTTATTTTATAAGCTTGAATTTTCTATACAAATATATATATTTTATATAAAAATACGGAGCTGTCGATTGAGATCGAGCGATATTTAGCAAATGTGAAAGAATCTTGTCCAATGCATGTTTCGGCGCAAGTCTCACCAGTTTTACAGAAAGGACGATTAGCCTGTTAAAAAGCTCGATCTGAATAATTTACTTTGGGGAGCAAGCGAAGACTCGACGAAAGCTCGACGCGACTGGAAAGCAAACAACCGCGATGACGTTGCACACGGTCATCGAGTAATCGAGGTACTCGAGCGTCTTGGTCGACGGCTCCTCGCTTGGCCCTGCAAAGTAACAGCTCCAAGTCCGAGACCGCAACTCACGAGATTAACACCAAACTCAAGCTGGTTCCCAACATGTACCTCCAACAGACGCAGAACACCGTGTACGAAATCGTCTCGGACATGAGTACGCGTCAGGACGCCCTGGAGGAGCGTCTGGTCTCGCTGGAGGACAAGCTGGTGTCGCTGCAGGAGCAGCTGGAGCTGCTGCCCGAGGCGCTGACGCGCTGCATCGCCCAGCACGCCGAGCGTATGGAGCAGAGACGAAACTTCCTGCATCCGGACGCGGCTGCCGGTAGTCTCGTGCCTACTCCATCCGGCCCGAGCGGCGTGGCGACGGCCGGCACCAGCATGAGCGGCGGGGCGGCCACCGTGCAGGCCTCGAGCTTCCCGGGCTTCGCCAGCATCGGCGCGACGGGCTCGATAATCCCGGCCGGCCAGCGGCTCCCAGCCGACCAGCAACAGCCGCAGCAGCAACTCCACCAGACGATGGTCAGCGTGCTGCCGCACTCGAGGAGCGGCCCGACGACGGTCTCGCTGCACCCGTGGCCGGCCTCGCCGGTGCTGCCACCCGTCTCGAGCCGCACCCCTCACCTGGTCCCGGAGACCGGCTGCGGAATCGTCAGAAAGGAACAAACGACTGCCAGTACGTCGAGGCTGGCCTCGGCCACTTCGTCGGCTTCCTCGGCCTCATCTTCTCAACAGCAACAGCAGCAGCAGCAGCCGCCGCAGCAACAGTCGAGCCAGGGCTCGGACGGCTCGTCGCCCCAGACCAGCTGAGCCTCGGCCCTGCACTCGCAGCATTCCTACTGAGAGGTGCTAGTGGTGCTGATGAACTATGCCGAGCGCGTCTTCCTTCCTAACGATCATGGCTGCACACATTTCCTGATCAGGCCGATTATTATTATTATTATTATTATTATTGTTAGCACGAGCACTACCGAAATCTCGAATCGCCGATATACTAATTTTACCACTCGTCCGGTCTTTATCGCTGCTATATTGTTATCGTCGTCGTTATTGTTGTTGTTGTTCTTATCGTCGACTGCCAACGGTACGAATGTAACTAGACTTTTTTCTAACACATGTGCGACAAGCCACGATGACTACGTGTTCTTCGAGCTATACAGTGCCAAACTGGAGGACACTTTATATCGGTTCATAGCTCAATTAGCCTGGATAAGGGGTGATCTTTTTCATTTTACACAAACTACTTATTGAGCTCGACTTTCCATGAATTCTCTTAGAAAAAGTTAGTCGCGATTTTCAGTTTTTTTTTTCCAAATCAGTATTAACGACCCAACGTACGTTGAAATTGATAATTAGGGAGGAAAATCGAGATATTATAAGGAATGACCTAGATGGAATTGCTTGTGCCTAAAACAGTGACAATAGCACCGTGAGTTGAGTACCTGACTGGCTTAGAAAATTGCTTCAACATCCCACAACAGATTACCGAGTGGAACCGGAAAAATGACCATTCTATAACTTACACATACACACACACACACACACACTTTCTGTACCTGTAAATTTTTCCCACTAACCTGTAATGTGCTCGCGGCTGACGGAGCGCGACATCCGACAAATTCGATTTCTGCGACTATCGATCTCGGTCTCGCTTCAAACTTTGCTCGCAAAACTTTCTGCCAAATCGCACTTGTCGGCTTTGTCACGCGAGTACTTTCCAGCTTCTACAACTCCTTCGTCTCTTTCGATACACTTTTGATCGAAACAAAAAATCTCTGTACATTATAGAATCGAAAGTCATTAGGGTCCAATTTTTCTAATAGTAAATAATTCCTAATTATTGAATACTACATTATCACGCCCTTAATTTCGAAAATGTATATCGCGACTGTTGTTTTTTTGTTTTCGACGAAAGAGAGAGAGAAAAAATAAACGGACCAGGATCGTGTGCTAAGCAAAAACGCGTGCAAATCTCTTCCACTTGCTGCGAGCTGCTATAGCTGCCCAACTTGCGTGCCTGATGAATCTTGAAAACATATTTGTAACATAAACAAACAGCTCACATCCCATTATATAAGAAAGATTGAAATATATATTGAGCAAATATATGCATATATATATATATTAAAATGTATAAAATACATATAATGTATTATGAGCCTGAAAGCTAAATCGAATAAATTGCGAGATATTATATATGTATAAATAACCAGTTGTATTCGACACAACGATATTCCACGTACTGTAAATGTATGTATAGTAAAAAACCATAAAATTTATTATACACAAAGCAGAGAAATCAATGTATGATATAATAATGACTCTTTGCATTACGTTGAGCGTATACATATAAAGTAAATATATTATATTATAAACGTTGATGAGCATAAAATAAGTGTGACATTTGCGTGAAAACTGATAAATATGTTGAACATAAGCAAAAAGTGCACGTAGAGTTATGCATAATGTATGCCTTTTTCGTATAAACATGAATAGGTGAATATCGTAATGTAGTTATTTAAGTGGACGTATAAATATTTAACCGAAAGCAGAGCAAAAACTGCGAGTGAGCATTCACATAGAGAGTAATGGAATATAAAATTACACGTTTTCTAATTCATTATTTATATAGGACATATAAAGCCTTGAAGGATAATATAGTCATTTGCGTAAATAATTATAAAAAGTGAGTATCAACTTTTTAAAAAGTTGAATATGATACGTCTTAAAATACAGATAATTTAGTGAACACGCGTATGGTTGACTGTGGACTAAATAATAACTATAACTCTTGTTGACTTTATTACATCGTTATTTGTTAAATAACAAGTATTTACGCATTAAATAACCTTATGCACGTGTTTTTGAATCGAGGATATTTTTCATTTACGAGCTTGAAAAATCATTCCCAAACTTGCAAATGCTCGTACTTTCTTTGAAATTTAATCATGATTTGACAACATTACTAAAATTAAAAGTCACACCGTTTTCATAACAATTAACAAGCGTTTGCTTTAATGAAGGCTCGAGATGAATTTTAGTTAAAAAAGTATTATTTCATCGCAAAAATAATAAAGCTTGAAAATTGAAATTCAGACTGGCATTATAAATTCATGCTTTCTAAATGGTATTCTTTGGTTTATATTTTCAAATAACTCAACACAAACTATTGTTCAGATCAAAACAGAAGAAAAATACTACAATGTAGGCATCATCAATCCAACTAGTACTTGAGTGAAAAATATATAATGGCCATTAAAAATATGACATTTTGTCTAATCGCGAGTTTCAAAAAAATTAAGGAAATATGACTTTTGACCTCTTTTTCCGGACCATCTGAACAATCGAACGATTTTTTCTTTACTTCTCGTTCAAGCTAATATACATTTTAACATTAATTTATCATTTTGGCATTAAACAGTGCTCCTGAATAAACATCGATGATATATTCCTATTAATAAAGTAGATACCAAAGTGCAAAAACTCAATTTTAAATACTATAGAACACTACGCAGGGACCTATTCACTTGAACGAAAAAAAATTAGTAAGAAAATAAATATCGTCCATATTATTTCAAGAAAAGTGGGAGTTTTCAAAGAGAAACGTGCAGGTTTCGCAAATTATTGCTGCGGAACGGGACCAAATATTATGAAAAAGTGGTACATGAAAAATGAAGTACTAGTAATAATGAAAATCTAATTGAATTATAAGAGAATTATTTACTTTAAAATTTTTCGATTAAAATTTGTTCATTTTTGCCACTTTTACTCCACAATTCATAAACACAAATTATAGGATTCTTAGAAAATTAATTTTCATTTTATTCATCGCTTAAGGGCTTAGCTCGACGCTCTTTACTGAGTGTAGCGCGTTCGCGTCGCGAAAAAAATTGAAACATGCTACTCTTCGGCAAAGAAAGGCGGCATATACCTTAAAATTGGATTTTTTTTAATTTTGAATGGGATTTTCTACCCCTTTTTTCTTCTTTTGCATTTTCTAATGTTTCAAGTAATTAAAAAATGTATCCTCCCTGTAATAATATTCGGAACGAATGGTTTGAGCTACAATATCCAGGTGTTATAAATGTCTTCAAAATATAAATAGTTACAACAATAACCTTAGACAAGGTGGTCGAACCCGTAGGTCGCAGCGCACAAACACTTGAGCGTAATTGTTTTCGTATTTTAAGTATTATTTGTCATTTTCATCATAAAAGTATTCATTGAGGGCGGCCTATTTAATTTGTGCGATCCCATCGTCCGAAATGGCTGACATGACTATTGATGTTTCGAAGAGATATACTGGACTGTAGCTCATATGATGGTTCGCTTTGAATATTATGACTAAAGTCGCGAAAAGAATAAAAATTTAGCACGCAAATTATACGAAAAAGGCTCTTGTAAACAACTGTTTCTAAGTGATAAATCAAAAATTTGAATTTTAAAAAAATGTCTTGCCAAGACAAAGAAAATTTTCATTCAAAAATGAAATTAAAAAAAATCTAATTTGAGATGTATAGAATCTCTTACTCAATCGGTGTTTCATACATTTTTCAAAAACAACTGTTTTTAATAAACCCCATTTTATGAACTAGTTCACACTTTGAAACAATATTCATTGCATTTGATGACCTCATGAAAAGTTAAAAAATAATAATTATAATAGTACACATTAATATCATACGGATTTTAACATAAAAAATAAAATATAACTTCATTTTTTTATCTATTCATGAAAATTTCAAATCCATATTCTTTAGTATAATGATAACAAAAAATCTTTTTGATTAAAATTGCAATTATGAAAACAATGATAAACATATTCAACCTATTCATTTATTCAGTATGATTATTGCATTCGGAAGCAAGTACCGTTTAAAATTGACGAAAAGAAATCATAAAAAAAATTTTATACGAACACATTATATGTCCTTTACTAAAATTGAAAATAATTCAAAAGGAATTTGAAAAAATAGTTTAGAATTTTTCAATTTAAAATATTTAGAACTGCATAATAAATTCATAACTATTTCTAAGCCTACCGATAGAACAAAAATTAACTTGCATAAAAATACTCTTTTATGAAGAAATAATTGTAAATATTTGTATTGTTGCATTCATTTGCAACATACTATTTCGCTGATGTGTTCAATATACTTATTGAATGTTTATTTTCATCAAATAATATTAAAAATGTTCCGTTTCATATCCAAAATGATTTAATACCAATATTAATGGTCTTTTTTCGTATTGGAATACGATGCATAACTGCTGCTAATAAGAATGCATGAGAGTATTATCTATACATAGAAATTTCATAAGGTACTTAAGCTATAAATTAATTAATAATTTCAGCCATAATACGCAATGTGGCAACGAGTATGTTAAGAAATTAATTCCGTAAATAGAATCAAATCATGATTCGCCGAATATAATGTTGAACTAAATACGAAATAAAATTTAAAAAAAAACATTGATTGTTCAATAGAAAAAATCTGCAGCTATATTAGTTGTTGACTATTATCGATAATATCTTACATTTACTAAAAAAATGATAAAATGTAAAAAATGACCAATTGTTAAATGCATATACTAAATCTGTGTTATATGCATTAATAAATAACACATCTTTTGCAAGGATTTTTCATCGAAAGTATAACTTTTTAACGAAGAAATTAAAGAAATGAATTGAACATTAATAACTTCATCTTAAAAGTGAGTTAAAAAACAATAAATATCCTAAAAAGTTATCGATATTACTATAAATAAAAAATAAATAAATTATTGGAAGATATTATAATATAATGAGAGAAATACATCAAGACTCTTGAGAAACAAAAGCAACTTTTCGATTTTTCTAAATTTTCTTCTCCCATTTAAATCTTCTTTCCATTCTCTTTGATCACAATTGAATCTTCCGATCATAATTGTCTCTTTCTCTATTTCATAAAAGTCAATTGGCATCATTAAAACAGATGTGCATCGTCATGAATGTGTGAGTGAAATTTTCACATGAAAAAATAACAAAAAAATGTTTTTTGGTATGCTTCATGCACAAAAACAAGTCAGAAAACTATATTGATTAAAATATCCAAATACATTAAAGAGTCAAATGTGATTAATATGAGAGTTGAGTGCTACTACAAATACCGAATGTATAATTTATTAAATGTTCAATTGTGTTTCCAGCGATAGCTTTCCTTTTAATATAATAACTACAATTGAATTATGTATAACTATAAAACATCAGATAATTATTATTCATTATCAAATGTGTTTTGTATGATTGTTATCGCTATCTAAATTGTTTCGTAATTATAACGAACCCTTTTAAAATCGAGAAATTCTTAATAATATTTTTACATAATAATCTGTTTCATTAGTTTCATTTTCGAAAATTGGTAATTATTATGATATTTAAGCAAGAGTTGGTTTCTTTGGTACGGTTTTGTATTTTTCAAACCCTTCAAGATTTACTACGTCTACGTCGCCAAAACCCGCATCGTCCAATTTCACAGAAAACTTTTTTGTGTATAAAAATTACTGTAAAAATTGATACTGCTCTTTTCTGATTTTGTATATATGTACTTGTATAGTTATTATTAACTTTGCGACGTTATTTTAATATATTTAGTACAACTGCGCTTTTCTACTTTGTGTGTGAAATGAACTTCATCCGATAACTGCTGCAAACTTATTAAAACAGACGACATGGTTAATCAAAAAATTTCATTATCATTGTATTAGAAATTAAGCGTGAAAATACAATATGTATTTTTAGCGTCTGAGACGAAGCGATTCTTAGTTTTTTATGATTACTCTCTTTTGTTTTGTGCTAAATATATGATGTACGATTATTAAATACGGGGACAACATAATTAGATTTACTTGAGCAATTGTACTTAAGTACACGAGTATTAAGAAAAACTATAGATAAATGAAGAGAGATTATGTATTGAAAAAAGATGAGCTGTGCGAAGAGTCTATACTACTAAGGGAACAAGTACCGTAATTAAATGGACGTAAACTGTATGAAATGCCACGATATATAAAAACGACGAAAAATTTTGGTTTAGTTGTTATAACAATTAAGTCATTAAAAAAATAACAACTTAAAAAGGTAACTAATCGTCAATAAGGTTCATATGATGGGGAACTACACCAATGGAAAAAACGACATAAGACACCGATAAGTTTAACGGGAGATTATGCAAAATGTACATATAAATATGAAAACGATAAAAAATATAAGATAATGATCTATGCTAAACAAAATTGACATGATTGAAGTAAATTGAAAAACAAACGAATTTCTCTCATAGTAAAAGCAGGCGTAAATTACAAACGATTATGTGAATATTCGTAAATGATAAACCTGGTAAACGTGTTCAAGTATCACGTCATACTATTAATGGAAAAAACTTGTAACGTTAATATATATATTATATATAAAAAAAAACTGTTGTCGATGTAAATAGAATGTGATTTGAGATCGTCTTTATATTTTAGAAAGAAGCACAACGTTTGTTACAAGGAGAAAATGTTACTCTATTATATAATGGCTCTAACATTAAAAATTTATTAAAGATTTGTTAGCAGCTCTATGAAGTATTTAATTGATTTAGCAACCTTTCCCCAATCCAAATCAATGCTGATTCTGATGATTGTATTTAAATCAAACTTTGCTTTTATTTTTATAGTCTTGCGATACTAAATTTACAATGATAACATAAATTTTTATTGCCTAATGCAAATTACAATTGTAACTTTCTAAAATGAAATAAAAGTAGTTTAAAATTAACATGAAAAAACGTAGACTTAGAGTAAAATCGATGCAAAATTTATCACGATAGTTACTATACATTTTGATTATCTCGATAGGATTTATCATAACAAGAGGCGCTTCGTCACACATTCACTGCATTATATATATGATACAAAAAGTCTATCCGGCGCGCCGACTCGGTCAGAACGAATAAACTGGCCGAGTTAACAATTTCAATACAGGGAAAAATCGTCAGTCTGTCTTGAATGATTACAAGTAGATAAAATAACTTTGGTAACTTTATGGTCCACGTTCGGGAGAGGAACGGCCACATTCCACAAAGTAAGTATACATACACAGACGCACGAGAGCACGTGCACATAGCATAAGGACACGATTCGGTATTACGATATAACGTAGAGACGAGGCTCGGAGACGATGGGCGAGATTCCTGGGGCGAGCCGCGACGCGTCGATCCCGCCGACGCGCGAAACCCGACGACGATTCAATAGTCGATCCGTCTCGTTGCGGACGAGTTGCTCGCTATAGGCTCAGCTCATGACTTTGTCGATCCAGGGCACGAATTTCTGTATGTTGGTGTAGACGCCGGGCAGGTGCTCGCGACCGCAGCCGATGCCCCAGGAGACGAGGCCGATGAGCACGTGGCGGCCCTCCACGGCCATGGTCAGGGGCCCGCCCGAGTCGCCTTGGCACGAGTCCCGGCCGCCCTCCTTGTAGCCGGCGCAGAGAAAGACGTCGTGTATGGTCTCGCGGCGTCCGGCCGCTCTGAACCAGCGCTGGCAGCGATCGTTCGAAATGACCTAGAAAACGGCAGAGGTGAAATATATCAGCAAAAGAGATCGACTGGAGGAGGAGGAGGAGTAGGCTCTTGATGCAGATCGCTGCTAAACGTTTCTCCTTTTCCTTTCGACCGTTATAATAATACACGCAGGCCCCGCGCGAGTGCCCGACAATCGAAGCTTTCACTTTTTCTGCTCGTCACGCAGTGGCTTGGGCCCCCGGTGAAATTTCGCCGATTCGCAATAACAAGAAGAAGAAGAAGAAGAGGAAGAGGAGGAGGAAAAGAAAAAGATCGTACCTCTACGTCGACCTCCTGGAGGACCGTAGGCGCGGAGGTCTGGCCGTGCCTCGTGCGACCCCAGCCGGCCACCGTGGCGGTGCGACCCTGCAGCTTGAGACTCTTGGCCGGCAGGCAGACCGGCACGATGTGCTGCTTGAAGGCGACGACCCGCGTGAGCTTGACCAAGGCGACGTCGTTGCGGAAGTCGGTCGGCGAGTACTGCGGGTGCACCTCCTTGCGCTCGATCGCGAACTCCTCGTGGAGCAGCCGCTCCGAGGCGTCCCTCACGTCCCACTCTCCCAGCCGGACCTTGAGGTTGTTGTTGGGCGTGCTGAAAAAACCCGAGCGAACGACAATCAGACTCGACGATCCAAGTCGCTGTCAAATGTAGGAGGTATATACTTACGTGGCGACGCAATGAGCGGCGGTAACGACCCAGCGATTATTCAGCAGAGCCCCGCCGCACGACAGCTTCTTGCTGAGAAAGCCCGACTTGATGATGGCCGCCTGTGCAAAACGAGCCCAAATTCAGGGGGGCAATTATTTAGCGATTTCGCGCGAGAGAGCATCCGCAACAACGAGGCTAGCGAAACTCACCTGCCAAGGATGGCTGCCGAAACTGGAGCTGTGACCGCCGACGATCCGGTTGCTCCTCGTGTACAATTCACCGCAACCTGTAACAGAGAGAAACGAGGCTGTAATCAACTTCCGTTTTCAGCTCCCACACACACACAAACACACACAAACACACGCATAGAGCCAGCGCACGATGTACATAGGCATGTGCAGCCCGTGTAATTCGGACGTTTGTATTATTATTACAGCGAGCAAGAGAGACATGAAAAAAGCGTACAGAACAGCTTCTGCTAATGCTGCTTGCGTGATGTGAAGCGGCTAAAGCGGATTTTCACTCGGTGATTGTTATTATTATTTTCTTTCTTATCAAATAACTTAATGGTTGGTAGTTGCTTTTTTTTCTCCTTTGGACGATGCACTAAAAGAGCAGTCGAGGGAGGGGTACATGCGAGTGCTCGACGACAATGACAGATTCTTTGGCTATAGCTCCAATCTCGTCGCTCTTCTTTTTCTCGCTCGGGGCCTTGGTACCATCCGGGGGAAAACGACGACGACTCTCGTGCTCAGCCAAATCGAAAAGCAAACACCAGTAAACAAGCGGCACAAACACGTAATCCAGCGTGTGAACTTATATGATAAACAAGAATGTGCGCGCGCGTGTGCAGCGTGTCTGTGTTATACGCGTGCGTGTGTGTAACTTTCCAATTGACAATCAGTGCAGCACACGGTACAACAAAGTCCATAGCCATTATACAAGTCGCTTTTTATTTTGCTTAATTTTGTTGTTTTTTTTTTTCTCGAACGAGATTACCACGGTAACGCGCGTTCGGCCCTTGGCCGACGACATCGATTTCGGCTGCGGCGTAATCTTCCGGCGAGTAATCGCTCAAGGATGTCGCAGTCGTCGGTTTGCTCGCCGGTCGTTGCGGCTGTTGCTGCTGAAGCTGTGGCTGTGGCTGCTGTTGTTGTTGTTGTTGTTGTTGATGCTGCTGCTGATGATGATGATGATGTTGATGATGATGATGGCTCGAGGTCGAGGCTGCAAAGCTGGGACTTTGCTGCGGACGCGCACTATTGCTACTAGCGACACCGTAGACGCTCACCTCGTCGTCCAGGTAAACGGGTCGGTGTATGCTAAAGCCTTGCAAGGTTCGCATCGTTTGTCGTTTGTTTTTTGTTTATTTGTTCTTTTTTCGTTTTTTATTTCGTTTTTTTTTTTTCAATTGTATTGCAGTACTTGTCCAAGTGACGCGAGTAATATTGCATCGAGTCTATATAGATGGTTGTACATTAACGAGCGATACTTACTGGCATTTTGGAGTAGTCCGACGCTGCTGACGGGCTTCTGGGGCTTCTGGGGCACCTCCGGTATGTCGTCGTCGTCGACGCAGCAGCTCCAGATCATGCCACCCGAGCAGAGGTCCACCGGGCGGCCGCCTCCCAGTACGCAGCTGATGCTCAGTCCACATTCGAATTTGGCGCCCTTGTACTTGCACGTCTGGGGTATCACTGCGGTCGAGAGAGAGAGAGCGAGAAAGAAAACATTAATTCGTTAGAGTCGATCGTGTTTATTTATCCACGAGTTCGTGGCTACCGGATGAAAGTCAAGGTAGCCTCGGCTCTTTGCATTACTTTATGAATAATAAATATATAGGTGAGATTGGAAATCGGCGATTCAGGAAATGTTTGTTCGAGTCGCTGGTCGAATCGGTCGCGCGTGAACGCGAATCTGCTGCAGCTACACGAGCCAACGCTTCGTTAATTTTCTCTTTCACCCTGTATACACGAGTCGTGATCGAATTCGCTCGAGAAGAAAGAGAAGAAGAAGCATCAGCAGCCCGAGTCAATTATTTTGCGAAACGCGCGAAAAATCATAATCGAGGAAAAGGACGATTATACGAGGAGAGAGAGAAGAGAAGCGACGGCAGCGCAACGATGCGCAAAAGGTGCCGTAGATATACACGTACGGCGCTGCTCTGTTTAGCCGCGCGACTTTGGAAAAAGAAGAGGAGGAGGAGGAGGAAAAAAAGAAGTGCGCCTTGTCCACTGCAGTCACTTTCCTTAAGCGAACGAACGACCCGATGCACGCCTGACGCGCACTATATACAGCATGCACACGGGTATAATATAGCCGAGGCAAGTGAAATTTAGGACTCTGCGCGCCGAACGAGCGTGAAAGTCCAGCAGCGGAATTTCACCTTGTTCTTTGCCGTACACACTCGCTCGCACACACACACGCACAGATCGGCGGCACGAGTTATCGCCGCTGCATACGCGATATGTTAATTATCTCTCCATATACTCTTGCTCCTTTTCTTCCTCTTTCCGCGGCGGCTCGCCCCCGCGCGTCGATCGCGCTCGATCCGATCGTCGACGCAACAATTGGAAAATCGCCTGCGCGCACTGTATATGTACGAGCGACACACATGAGGCGCTCACGCGCGCTTTCGCCGAAACGTGTTAATTTTAGCCATTTTCACCTGAGCGATGCTCCACTTAGAGAGAGAAAAAAAAAGAAGCGCACACGGTATCTACTGGTTGCGAACGTACTTCTGCCGAGCATGTCCATGATGCCGTTATGGACCTCGGGCAGCTGGTGGCCCCGCTGGTCGCCGCTGAAATTCATCTGCTTCTTGGCCAGGGCCTCGACCAGCAGCAGGCCCTGCTCTTGGCTGTTGAGTTTGCGCCGCCTGCCGCCTCGCTTGTAGCCACCACCGACCTGACTGTAGGTTGACTCCGAGTCGAGCTCGTTCTTGTTGAGCCTCTTCCTCAGGGCCAGCTGGTCGAGCAGCGTCTCGAGGCTTGTCTCGGGCTTGTCGACGAGCGGCTGCGGCGGCGGCGGCTCCTCCTCGCCGTAATCCTGCTGTATGTGATTGGTCTCCCGGGGCCGGAACAGGATCGTCTCGTGCCTCACGGAGCTTAACTGAGCCGTAGCCATCGTCGTCGTGCTGCTGCTGCTAGCCATCAAGAGTAGAAGCGTGACTGCGAGCTGACCGCCTCCTCGGTGACGCATCGTTGTGCCGGCCGCACTCGTCTCCGGGTGCACTGGTCGCGATCATGACCGGATCATGACGTCTTGCCCGATTCGTTGGGCCCGCGCGCGAACGAGCCGCGGCATCGCTGTCTCGAGCTTGACTGCACACCTACTTGGCACGCTTATCGCAGCGAACGACGATTGGGGCAACTTTGACGAAAAACCGCGGCGGACTGTCGCGATCGATCGGTCTTGCGGCGGCGACAAAATCGGCAAGAGGACACGACGAGCAGCTGCGCTCCGCGATGCACTCGAGAAGGACGTTGCAGCGCCAACGAGAGACTAGCGGTCCGTCTGTGCTGGCCAGCGTCTCGAGGTGTTTGTCCACCACCTCCTTTGGCTTTTGCGATATGCTCGCTGCTGCTGTTGTTATTGTTGTTATTGCTTTCACCCGAGAGATAGCTGCAGCGCGCCGCGGCTTTCTCGCGCGCAGCGATATTATACGTGCGGACACATCCTCGCGCGCGCGCTCGTCACTTTGACGAGCCACTGCACTCGCAAACGTCCTTATTATCATTATTTTCAGCGGCGGCCCCCTTTTTTTTCATTCGACTGCCTCCTTCCTTCCTTCCATCTTACGTTATTTGCTCTCGAAATTTGATTTTTCGTCTCCGAATCGAAACGTAACGCAGCGCAATCGATGAATCGAATTGGGAATAAACCGACTATTGTTCATTGTCACTTTTGCGAATTTGAACTTTTTCCTAATCCCCCTGTGAACGAACAGCGTGATTATTTCCAAGAAAAAGCAAAATGTTTGCATTCGCTGCTTAAAAGAAAAATAGCTCGTACGAAGGAACGATGCAATTATTCAATGAAAACGTCTGTCTTTTGTTATGGCAACAAAGTGTAATAACGAGGGCTCTCGTTGATGCCCGGTCAAAAAAAAAAAAAAGACTTCCTCGTGACTGCCGAGTATGTTTAGCTGGGTACGTTGGCTTTTGCAGCGGCTCATATAACAATAGAATGGGAGATGCGTCGCGAATTTTTCGTAGCGCAAATAATTGCGGGCCGCGTTTGAATATGCGTTTGTGTAAGCATTTTCTTAAAATGCAGAAAAAATAATAATTCCTCGGTGGCGCAGGACAAATACGAGTGTATACTCGGCTACAGAGCTAAAAAGTGCAGCCTCGATCGCGTTGACAATAGCGTCGTTAGGCGTAATTAGCATATCGCTGCGTGTTGCCGTGCATTGGCGCGCGCGCGCGCATACATACGCGCTGACATTGAATGGGAGAAGAGTAAGTGCAAGAGAAGAAAGAAAAAGCACAACAAACCATCGATCATCGCGCGGGACAGCATCACTTAAACGCGTGCCTTTCTCTTTTTGTTCCTCTGTACACAGCACGCTTACTCTTATATTATACTATGCGTATATCGCATCCTCGCAACGGACCACGGCACGTCCGCGGCGCGCATTTTTACGATTACGAGCGAGCACCTCCACGGACCGCAGGTGTGAATCTTAAATTCTTTACTGTCGCTTTCGCGCACACGATGATATTTCGCCCCGACAAAGCCGATCGAGGAGAAACAAGTAAAAGTGTTACACATCCCTTTGAGTAATCGTTGACAGGCTTCCAATATTTTCCTTTACGTAATTCCTTGTCTCGTTTAGAAAGGATGATTGCCGTGATCAAGCGATGAAATAGAGCAAAGTAATATATTTTTTTCGACCAGTTATGAAAGTACGCGAGTATGTGTGTGTGTGTGCTCGGAATGTTTTTGTTATTTATATAAACAGAAGAGTGAGCACGCATTATCGTGTCAAAAGAGAGTGAAATGAACTCGTAGAACAATTTGGACAGTGAAAGTCGTCGTTGGCTCGAGTGCACTTTTACTTATGACCGGCTGGAGGATCATCGTCGCTACATCCTTGACGATAGACGCAAGGCGCAATTGGGCAAGGCAGGAATCGTTGATCGCTACATCATTCATCGATACTCACAGCCAAGCTCGTCGAAAAATCGCTGCTGCTCGTACTCGTGCGTCCCTCCGACGTCGTTCTCCGACTGCTGCTGCTGATCTGCGAGCCAAAAAAAAAAAAGTTTTAAAAAGTGCAGCTCGAGGGCTGAGCTAGCTGCAACGATGAAAACCTACCGAAAGCCGACATGTACTTGTCGTTCCTCCTGGCGCACGTGTCCCTGAGCAGTAGTATAGCCAGCACGAAGAGCCATCTTCGCAGGAGCCTCATGTTGGGGGGCGATGTCTCGGTGACTCGCCTCGGTGCTTCAATAATAATGCGATGCGGTTTCTCGGCGCAGCATCATCATCATCAGCGTCTTCGTCTTTGTCGTCGTCTTTGTCGTTACGATCGCGGCGACGCACTTTGGCTCCTCATTTCGTACATGTCGCCGGGATCTGGGCCGAGGAGGCTCGCCGACACATGTACATACACACGAATATACGCGTATGTGGTATGCGTGCGCGTCGTATGGAACCAGGTCACTGGAAACAAGTGGGACAAGCGCACCTTTTTTTATTGTTCGTATACATATATAAGAGACCACGAAGGGGGATCACCCTATTTTATACGGCTGCGCGCTGTATACACACGCGATATTCATCGTTTCGTCCTTAAGATTATCATTGAGTGAAAGTACGCGCCGCGCGACCGGACCTTCTTCCTCCTCCTCGTGCTCTCGCGATCGTGCGTGTATAAGTATAACAATACCGGCTCGCGCGCAGTACCACGCACCTTTTTTTTGCGCTCTCTCGCCGAGAGACCAAGCGGGCGATCGTTATCGTCTCGAGGCGCTTCGGAATTTGTCGCGCGTGGGGCTATGCGAATGAAGGCGTCGCGCGAGCAAAAGACGAGCGCGAGCCGCCGCGCCGCGACTGGAAATCGTCACTTTCCATTTTCCTCGTAATGACAATAATCATCGTCATCGGTGAAATAAGACAACGCGACACGATTGCAGCAGAATGCGCGCCGATGCAGTAGCCGCGCGACGAGTATGAAAAAAGCCGCCGCCGCCTCCTCCGTGCGCGATGGAAAGTGAAATGCGCTCCGCGCGACGTACAACGTATATATAATGGCCATTAAATCAACAACAAAGTGTTGATGATATCGTGCGCGCGCCTAGCTGCGCAGCGAGCTTTCATTCCATATTTTCTTCAAAGTCTTTAAGTAGTCGTACTTTTAATTAGTATATACGCGAAAAAAAACACACGGCAATTCGTCGATTGAACTTTCTTTCTGCGCGTGCGGCGCGCCGGTGGCCGCGT